AAAATGACCCCCTTCACAACCCGCTATCCGTGGAGGTGCTCCCCCTGGTCCGCTTGACGATTACTCCCAAACCAGTCTCAGACACTGAAGTGTGAGGTGGAGATCGACCCACCGCCCAAAGAAATGGGGACGGAAGTGTGGCTGATTCCTTTGTTGCAGGCGCTTAGCTTAGAAACCGTGGACCTTGACCTGTTGCGTTGAAAGGGGGTGGTGTTGAGAGCGGGGACAAGATATGTGATGCAAAGCAGCACGTGAGTTGAGCAGAGATGCAAGCGCGTATGGGGTGTTTGCGGCAAGGTGCGACTGACAGTGGGTCAAGGCAAATTGAACAAACAAGAAGAAGCAAGGAACAAAAAAGGAGCAAGCAGCAACAAAGGAGCAAGCAGCAACAAAGGAGCAAGCAGCAACAAAGGAGCAAGGAACAAGGAACAAAGTGCGAGTGGGCAGCGACGAACCTGATCTTGGCCAGCAATACCGACACCAACCAAAAAGTCCTTGACGTTCTTTCTTTGGTCACCCTGATTGAAGAAGAAGAAGCGTGTGTGTGTGTGTGTGTGTGTGTGTGTGTGTGTGTGTGTGTGTGTGTGTGTGTGTGTGTGTGTGTGTGTGTGTGTGTGTGTGTGTGTGAGTGTGAGTTGGGATGCGCAGTAGTTGGTCACATCGCGCGAGTTGTTCACAACAACGATTGATCACACCAACTGCTGATTCTTTGCTGTCGACGGACACCAGCACTTAACACATGTACGTGCACACACGCACAGCTACGTATGCACACACGCACGCACCGTGTGCTTGGAGGTTCTGGATCGACATGGCTGCTTGGTGTGTTCGTTCGAGATGTGCTGTTGTGCTGTGTGTCTTGTGTGTGTGAATGGCGTCTGCCCTTGTGGTCTCTTCTGTCGTGGCGCGTGTGTGCTTTTCTGGTTATGGCGTAGACTGAATTCAGTTTTACATTGTCGTTTATGTAATTTTATGCTGTCGCAGCAACAAACTCAATAAGCGCAATGGACACAGAAAGCTCCAACAAAGCTCCAACGCTCTCCCCACCCCCCCCCCCCCTCCGCGCCTGCGCTTACCCCTACCCCACACAACCATACAACAGAACACTCCTCAACAACACACATCACAATTTGAGCACACATTCACTTCTTCTTGAAGAAGGAGCTGAAGACGGAGCTGTCCTTTGCCTTTTTGCGCATGACACCACGGGACGCTGTGGTGTAAGTCGAAGGCGCCGAGGCGCGCTGGTTGCAGTGCATCTGCATCATGGCCGTGGCCTTGTACCTGCCAGCGCCATTGTAGGCCGCGGGCGTGCTGAAGTTGCCCTGGCACTCGTCCATGTCCGTGAGCAGCTGCTGGATGTAATCGTCCGCGGCCGCCTCCGTGCGCATGGCTGCGCTGGTCGTGGTCAGGTTTGCCTGTGCCGACGCAAAGTCGCCGCGACGCGCTGCCTGCAGCGCTTCCCGCATGGCGTTGGCGGCCTCCACGCGCCGCACCTGCCGACGCACGTTCTTGTCGGGCTGAGCCTTGGGCGGCGCCTGTGCCGGCCGCGTCAGCGTCAGCGAAGCCGTCTCCTTCTCAAACGCTGCGCTGATTACGTTCACATACTCCAGCACGGCCGCAGCATACGTCACGTGCGGCACGCCCACATCCTCTGGGCGCGGCTTCTTCACATCATCATCACACTTGGCCGCTGTCTCTGTGTCCTTCTCCTCCTGCTGCTCTTCCTCCTTCTCTGCGTCTTTCTCTGATGCTGGCTTGACGTCATCGCCATCGCCCTCGTCGTCCTCATCCTCGTCGTCGTCGTTGTTGTGAACAGCAGCGGCGGTGGTGGTGGTGGTGGTGGTGGTGCGGTCGTTCTTGTCTGGCTGCGGCAACTCGAGTGGCGGGATGTCCAGCTCCACCAGGAGGTCCCGCTGCTCCTCGGCCTGGATGTCGCCCAGCTGGATCTCCGCCCGCGTGCGATCCGAGGACACCGTGTGCTGGCGCTGCGTGTGCAGGGTGGTGATCTTGGCGCCGTTCTGCGTGGTGATGGTGACCTTGACGTTCTGGCCGACGACGGAGAGCAGGCCGCCCAGGCAGTCGCCAAAGGACTCCGGGATGGTGTCGTTGTTCTCAATGTAGTAGTACATGCCGTTGCCCACCTCGGACAGGTCCTTGAGCAGCTCCTCCTCGTGGTTGCTGCCGTAGCCAAAGGTGTAGAGGGAGTAGCTTGGGTTGTCGCCCATGAGCTGGCGCGTGGCGGTGATGAGGTTGGGCCCGCGCACGCCCTCGTTGGCGATGCCGTCTGTCATGAGCAGCACAGAGGACACGCTGGCTGCAGACCGCTCGCGGCCCTGCATCATCTCAATCCCCTTGAAGAGCCCGCCGCTGAGGTTGGTGCAGCGCTGCGCGCGCAGCGTGGACAGGGCGGCCGTCGCCGTGCGCTTGCCCTCAGCGTCCATGCGTGTGAGCGGGAAGGCAACGCTCACGTCGGAGTGGTACACGACGAGGCCCATGTGGTCCGTTTGCGACAGGTTCTTGATGAGAAACTCCAGCGTGGCCTTGGCAAGGTCCAGCTTGGAGCCGGACATGGATCCGCTCACGTCAATCACGGCCACAATGTCCACCGCCCCGCGCGCGGCTTCCTCGCCCTGGTACTCTGGCGCCTGCACATGGAACACGCTGTTGATCTTGTGCCGCTGTCCACGCGAGTAAGCCACAAACTCGCTTGTGCTCTCAAACGTCAGCCGCGCCGCGACAGAGCTGTTGGGAGCTTGTGCAGTGGCTGGCTGCTGCCCTTGCTGATCCTGGTCTGCCATCTTGCTCTTGTCTTGTCTTGGTTGTTCCTTGTCGGTGGTGTTGTTCCTTGTTGTTCTTCTTCTTGCTTGTCTTGTTCTCTTGTTGTTGTTCTTCTTCTTGCCCGTCTTGTTCCTTCGTGGTTTTGCTTGGTTGCTCGTCTTGGTCGATGTGAAAATGAACACGGCACTGGGTGCGATCGCACTTCTGCCTGTCACCCCTTGCTGACAGCTAAGGCAGGCATTCTGCTGACTGCTGATTCCTGCCGACACCGCACGCTCGCACTGGTTTTGGGTGCAAACCAGTCGTGCAGGCGGTCCTTCTTGCTTCTTGCTTCTTGCTTCTTTGCCTTGTTGTTTGTTCTGTGCCAAAAATACATGCAAGCGAACGATGAGTCACCCACCAAGTGGGCGTGGTTTCTGCACAGTCAGCAAACCACCAAACCAAAAAATTACGACTGAATTCAGTGGGATCATCACACACAAACAAAACACACACAAACAACACGCAGCACAACAAGCAAGAAGCAAGCAAAAAGAAGACACAGCAAAGGAGTAAGTGATTTGATGTGAAGACGACTGACTGGCTGGCTGGTCCTGACGATGAGCAGTAACGCAGCAGCCACAGCAGCACCCGGCACAGCGGCAGTGGCGGCGACGGCGGCGCCGTCAGCGGCTGCAGCAGTGACAAACAAGGCAGTGTCGAGTGTTTCTGCAGCTCCTGCGGCAACTGCGGTTGCCGATGAGATCCCCCGCGTGGTGTTTGTGCAAGTGGAAGGCAACGACAATGTGGTTGTGGAGTCCCTGCGAGAGGAATGCGAGCGGCTCCGCATCAAGGTGAACAACAGCGCGGTGTGCTTGTACATGTATGTTGGGCGGGGGTGTCGAGGATCCACACATACACACACAATGTTACGTGCACACAATAGTACATATGCACAATCGTACATACACACAACACCACCTGCACACACAAATTGCAATACACAATCACACACACGTACAACATACACGTGTGCGCACAAGTTCTCACGTCACTCGTCGAACTTCCCCTCCCTCTTTCCACCTCTTCCCTCACCTCTCATTTCATAAACCCTTGACAGAACAAAGTGACCAAGGTGGTTGATCTGCAAAATCAGGATACCACGCACCAAGTCGCTTTTCACAACTGCGACTTGGCCATCCTCGACCTGCGCACGGTGGACAACCACAACTCCTCCTTCATCAGGTGTGCGCGCTGTGTGTCCGGACACAGCCTTGCACCATGTCTTGTTGACAAATCGACTCCTCGTTTGCAATTGAAATGCGTCCAAGATTTCATACACACTCACACGCACGCACATACAACAAACATGTGCACACATGACATGACTCCAACTGCCACAACAACTGCCACAACTGTACATCATGATGCGGACCAGTTTCCATATTGGGCGCCGCCTGAGCCGCAACACGTCTCCACACGCCCTCACCGTGATCCTGCTCAGCCAACGCGTCACGTACGCTGTTGCTTATTCCTGTCTGACCGCCCTACTGTCTACCATGTTGCTCATGTGACGTCACAATTTCAATGGACTGTTGTGTATTCTGAACCTGTGCGCTGGCACCAGCCACGTTTTACACGCTCTTGAACTGCAACACGTAGCCCTCACTTGCTGCGCTGCCCACGTCGATGCGGTTGTGTTTTGTTCACAGACGACCCATCCCCAACTGCACGTACTACTACTACAAGCTGCGCGAAGGCAACTGCTTTGCAGACACAGAGGACCAGCCACCACTCGCAGCACACCTCTCGCACCTGCTTCGGGTCAGAAGGCGCACCTCGTTGCGTATGTGTGTCTATCTGTCTGTCTGTCTGTCTGTCTGTCTGTCTGTCTGTCTGTCTGTCTGTCTGTCTGTCTGTCTGTCTGTCTGTCTGTCTGTCTGTCTGTCTGTGTGTGTGCGTCTGTGTGTGTGTGTGTGTGTGCGTCTGTGCGCGTTGCATCAGCGGGTTATATCGCGGCGCTATTGATGAGACCTGTGATGATGATCTATCCAATCAGATCCCCATCCATGGCTCACATACCCATGATGACGACGACGATGATGAATGAATGCATGAATGGTTCGGTCAGACACACGCAGAGACGCAGCCGACGCTGCAGACCCAAGATTTGCTGTTTCAGGATGGCATTGCCAAAGCAAGCTCCCCCTTTCTCGATCGAACCACAAAGCTCGAAGAACTCAAGAAACTCGAAACGGTGCGTGCGTGCGTGCGTGCGTGTGTGTGTGTGTGTGTGTGTGTGTGTGTGTGTCTGTCTGTCTGTCTGTCTGTCTGTCTGTCTCTCTGTCTATCTGTCTATCTGTCTGTCCGCATTGGATTGCACGTACCTCCCTGTGTTCACTTGTTTTGTATCTGTGATCACCTCAGCGACGAGCACATGTTCACAACATGACCTTCCCACCCGTTCACACCCGGTCACACCACGGTCACGTGCACAGATCTTGAAGGACAAGTACTCTGACGACCGCCTGCACGACATTCTCTCCTGCTATCGCGACCTCAAGGAGTGGCGTGCAATGATCAGGCTCGCAGACGTGCGTTTGTGTTGATGTACGCGCTCACACACTCTTGGCCTTGCACACACACACACACACACACACACACACACACACACACACACACACACACACACACACACACACACACACACACACACACACACGCACACACACCTACGTGCACGCACGTCACCCATGTTTTTACATCAAGCTTGCCCTCTCTGTCGCCTCAATGCTTCCTCTTGCGTTCAACCATATCCTCCTCCATCTCCATCAATCGCTTTCAAGTTGTCACTCACTCCATTTATCCCCCTCACCATCCTCACACACCCTCACGTCATCCCGCCACGCCGACACTGCCACGTGTACGCGAATGCACTGCAGGCTGCACGCAACGAAATCGGGCTGGAGTCAAAGGCGTTGCTTGCGTTTGCTCTCAACCGCCGAAATGAGGGCGCTGGGAAGGACAGAACACGCGCCATGCACATATGCGATGACATCCTGCAACGCCTGAAGGTGTCGAACAACAGCGTGCCAGACCCGCGCAAACGCAAGCTGCTGCACGACACATATGGGCTCATTGGACGCATTCACAAGGACGCCTTTGTTGATTCCCTTCGCGCCTTCATGGAAGGGCAGGCTGTTCCCATCCAATACGACAGCTGCGACAAGGGTGCGCTGTGTGTGTGCGTGTGTGTGCGTGATGTGTGTGTGTGTGTGTGTGTGTGTGTGTGATGTGTGTGACGTGTGTGTGTGTCTATGTATGTTCGTGGACACGTATGTGTGTGTGTGTGTGTTCGCCCACACGTGCGTGATTGTTGCTTGCGTAGCAGTGTCCTGGTCTATCTGCCCCCCCCACTACAGCGTATGCACGTCATCTCACGCTTGTTGCACACGTGCGCCAATTATTTCCAGCAATTGAAGCGTACGGGCAAATCTGCCAGATTGAGGAAGAAGAAGCGAAGGAGACGGGCAAGAAGGTGCGCGCACGTGGGTGTGGATATATCAGCACGTGTGTACGTGTACATGTGCACCTCTGTGCTTGTTTGCGTGTGTCGCCGTGCTCTCATTGAGTGCCAAGACACGAACAAGTGTCCAAGCTGTAGGAATCAGCACACTCTTGAAATTCACGCTCACAACCACGCAAAACCACACATGCGCATGTGTTTTGTGGTTGCAGAACAACTTCTATGGCGCCATCAATTTGCTCACGCTCATGTTCTGTTCACGTGACAACACGCGATTCGAGAAACGATGCTGTGAACTCAGGTCTGTACGTCGTGTTTGCAGTGTGTATGTAAATGTGTGTGTTTGTTTTTGTGCTGTGTGTGGTTGTGTGTGTGTGTGTGTGTGTGTGTGTTCGTATCTGTGTGCGGACAAGGAATTGCTGTTGTGAGATGTACGCCGTGACACCAACCACCGTCACCGCCAATCACGACTGCCAGTGCTGAGATCAGCCACGCGTACGGGATGAGTGATTTTCAGCCGGCAGAAAACGCCGTCACAGACAATGACTACTGGGCGCTCGCAAACGTGCTCGAGGTGGGATCATGGTTGTGTGTGTGTGTGTGTGTGTGTGTGTGTGTGTGTGTGTGTGTGTGTGTGTGTGTGCACGTCTGTTTGTCAATCTGTCTGTCAAACCAACAATGTATGTAAGCGTTTACATCATCATCCACTGACACCACATCCCACGTCCATGGCACCGCGCGCTCCCCAGGCCAACCTCGTCGGCTACTACATTACGCAATCCGAGGGCGAACTGGCGCTCGCTCTCATCGGTGTGTGTGTGTGTGTGTGTGTGTTGATTGGATGCGATATGATGACTGACGAGTGCTCCGTGCTGATTGATCGCCTCCACGTCTCCGCTCACCGCATCATCACCACCATCACCACCCACTACAGCGATTGAGAAGATGCAGGACACGTCGTTCCAGCCGTGGATGGCAGAGACGACAGTCAAGAACCTCAGGCTACTCAGCAGCGTCGTGCAGCACAGACGCGTGAGTGCTGCTGCTGTTGTCATTTGAGGAGATGGTGTTGCTCACCATGCAACGCTGAATTGATTGATTGATTGATTGATTGATTGATTGATTGAAGGAACATGTACTCACTCAAACATTCACGCATGCATACGCTCCCGCACAAACTCACACACTCACACGTGCACATCACAAACATGCGCATGCATGCACGTGCAGGACCCTCGCCGGCGGAAGAAGAAGTTGACAGCGGACGTGGCGAAGATTGAGTTCTGGCAGGACTTCCTGGAGGACTGCGGATCGGAATGCACGTCCGAATACGAATGGCGCGTTTTGTACGGTACGATGTGACACGCACGTCTGGGGTTATGCACCTCCGCATGTGTATGAATGTGTGCATGTGTCTGTGTGCCTGTGTGTGTGTGTACGTGTATGTGTGTGTCTGTGTGTGCACCCTGTTGCATCAAGGTCGTCCTCACAACATCCTTCGCAACATCCTTCACACCCCCACTCCTCCCAACACTCTCCCGTCCTGTGTCGTTGAACAGCGTTTACACCTCAGCAGAAGCAGCGGCCAGAGCCTGCGCGCGTGCGTGTGCAGATGGCAACAGATGCAGCAAATGCCGTCGTGCAGGTTGGCTGCTGGCTCGGTTGAGCCGTGAGAGATAATGGATGTTCAGAAGGAATTTCGGGTGGGAGGACGAGGCAATCGCGTCAAATTCACTGAATCTGTGCTTCCTTTGGGCTTCAACTACTCACTCGCACACACTCACTCACTCACACTCACACACACACTCACTCACTCATTCGCTCACTCACTCACACGCTCTCTCTCACACACTCACACACACACACTCACTCACTCACACTCACTCACACACTCACTCACTCACTCACTCACTCACTCACTCACTCACTCACTCACATGCATCCTCTGCAGGTGTTCACGCTTGAGGCGGAGTTGGCAAAGCAGCCTCCAGTCGAGATCAAGTTGAGCGACGTCAAGAACATTGGGCTGCTCACCGGTGAAAGCGATTCACGCACGGCCGCGAAGGCATCGCGCACCGCCGAGCTGATCATCATTCGCGAAGACAACAAATACGAACGCATTTTCCTCGTCTTTCCATCATCGGTGCGTATGAACGTATGCATTGTGTGCTGCGTGTCTGCTGTGCATATGTGCGAGTGTGCTGTGTGTTGTGTGTATGTTATGTACATGTGAGCGCCCGATTGTATCGAAACAGCGCGTCGCCAATGCTGTTGTTCACATGCCTCCCACACACACACACACACACACACACACACACACACACACACACACACACACACACACACACGCACGCATACACACGCATACACACACAGGGCCATCGGGCCATGTTCCATGCAAAGTGCGAGGAGCGCGGTTATCGGCCCACGCTCAAGGTAAACAGATCGCTGTTGCGCTGCGCCATCCTTCACCCTTGCCCAACTGGCGCCGTGCACCCGACACCCACACTCGAACAGAACCGCTTCCTTGTTCTCCCCGATGTATCATCTCACGCACACGCTCGCTCGCTCGCTCGCTCGCCCTCACGCACAACCCGCGGCCCCCTCCCCTCCCCCATCACGCCACGTGCACAGCTTGAGCTGCAGCCGAGTGCCAACGCCAAGCCCGTGTCGTACGAATACACGTCAAACGCCAACGGCCAGCGCAAGGTGCTGGGCCAGGGCGCCAGTGCCACCGTGTACGAGGGCATCAACAGAGACAACAACCAGATGCTCGCCATCAAAGTCTTTGAGGTGCGAAGTGGGGGAGATATGATCTGTGTGTGTGTTGTGTGTTGTGCGGTGTGTGTGTGTGTGTGTGTGTGTGTGTGTGTGTGTGTGTGTGTGTGTGTGTTGTGAAATGTGTGTCTGAATAAATGCACATGTTCATTTGCGTGTACATGCACATGTGTGTGATTCCTGATGTCCGTTCGCTTGCCGTTGCCTCGCCTGCAGGATGGCTTGAACGAAGCCCTGATCCGTACGGAGATGCGCTATGCACAGGAAAAGTGCGTTCGTGCCATCACGCGATTCGCAATTCGCGCCTTGCTCACGATGACTCGACGCTTCACACAACACGCACACACACACATACACAAGACTACAAGAATACGCGCACAAGACCGCGATTATTCGCGCGCACACACACACACGCACAAGTACACGCACACGCACACACACACACACTCTCTCCCTCTCCCTCTTTCGCTTTCCCTCGAGTACACGCTCATGCCCTATCCCACCTGCGGCTTGTTGTGGAATGGTTTTACAGGCTGCTGCAGCACCGCAACATTGTGCACATCTTTGGCTTCGTTCGTGAAGCAACCGGCACCTGCGTCCTCCTCATGGAGGTGAAAATCATAAACACGCGAACAGCCTCGTGTCACGCCCTGTTCTGTCCACATCCAACGCTCACAGCCCCTTTTTGGTCAACTGCTTGTGTTCACACCATCCCTCTCGTGCATTGACACCCATGTGTGTGTGTGCGTGTGTGCGCGCGCGTGTGTGTGTGTGTGTGTGTGTATATATGTGTGTGTGTGTGTGTGTGTGTGTTCACCCCTTCAGCTTGTGCCCGGCGGCTGTATAGCCGATCTCGTCCGCTACTTTGGCGGTCTGCTCCGCTTTGAGCCGTGGCTCAAGTGTTACGCAGCACAGGTGCGCCGTGCAATGCGCATGCACCGTGCATGGTTACGCGTGAATGTGTGGATTTGTGTGTGTGTGTGTGTGTGTGTGTGTTTTGGATGCGTATTGTGTGTCTGTGTCTCTGTGTGGTGTAAAGATTGACATCCACG